CATATATCATGTGATAGCATTCAATGCTAAAATGAGTCAAAATAGCCAAATTCTAACAGGTGGATGATCGGTTTGAAGGGGAGTTTGCTTCGTGTTTGTGTGTCCGGTTGTTGGGTGTGCGTGTGGAGTCCTGTTGTGTGTTTGTGCGCGCGCCTTTATCCGTCCACGTGCACGTGCACGTGCGCGTCCAGTCCAGTCCAGTGACACAAACAAATGTCTGGATGTCTCTGTCTCCCCCTCATTCTCCGGCCCCCGTCACGTGGGGCCGCGGAGTTAAGGAAAACAAGCGCGCCCATTGTGCCGCACAAAGGCCCCAAACGCTGACGGTGCAGTCGCACAAAAACTCCGGGTTGTGCGTGTCATTGTGTGTGTGTGTGTGTGTGTGTGTGTATGTGTGTCGGGGGGGTCCATAAAGGGTGTTGGCACTGTCCCTCTGACACCTAAAAGCAAAAAACCTAAACGGGGCCATTTAAAAAAAAGACCTCTATGGGTTTTAAAGGTGGTCTTTTATGTCTATTCACAGAAAAGTTAAGCATCACACGTTCATAAGCACCGATAAGGATAGTTAAAGATAGTTAGAGACAGAAATATGAAACGTTAGCGGCCCCTAAATATACAGATTTAAAAACTATTAACTGTATAATCACCCTGTTGGGAGTGTTTGACCACCAAGACTCTCTAAACTCTTTCAGATCTTCAAATTCTCTAAAAGTTTCAACATCCAGAACAGATTTTCGTTCCTTTTTATTGACCGAATTGGTTGCTGTAACCAGGTTTTAATCTACCCTTAATCCAATCAAATTGAATTAATTCAATTACAAATCGTTCCAACTCATCGTGCAGCAAATAGAGACGATTTCTAGCTAAAGAAACCAACAGAGAAGAAAACTATTGGCCACATCCTGTATGAGCCATGATTATGATCAACCACATGGACGGAGAAAATAAGAACTACATGTTCATCAATACAGCCAAATGTGACTCGGATCATCAGAATGAATTAATTTCCCTTCATTAATTAGGACAATTAGGGCATAGGGACTTGTGGGAAGGTCCTTTTGGGATCCTACAGATCTAATGAATCTTTATGGAGGCTATTCCCCAGATGCTCCGCTTTCAGACCTTGTTGTCGGCTGTTTTCTGCGTAAAGTTCAGAGAAGTCTTCAGGCCAGTCGGAGCCTTTCTGCTGACCTTTATCTCTTCCTGTACCTGTCCACCTGTGGGACGAGGACAGATAAAGACCAACTTTATAGGCTCCAGACACTAAACTCTAGAGGCCGT